TTGCAATGGGTTATGGCTATGGGTTGGTGGGGGGTGTTACTCTTCTATATGTTGACTGCGGGGACACCCCACATTTCCGATGGTGGGTGGGTGGTGGGTGTAAATTGAGGGACGGTTATTGGTTGGGTTGGTTCGGATACGCTGCTACGTAAGCATCACTCAGCGAGGAGTGTCGGCTATGGCCATTCCCGAGTTTATTTCTTATTGAGTGGTCGGGTTTATGGGTTTATGGATATATGCGTGTATTGGATCGAGGGATCGGGACGATCTGTGGGGTGCATGTATTGAGGTTTCTCTGCATTTTGCAATGTCATTGTATTCAGTAGTAGTGCCTGTTGACTGTTCAATCCTGTGTATGCGGGGTGCGGATCGCCCATCGGCAGTTGGTGCCGCGGCGGGAATGACAAACTCCGACACAATTATTCCCTGCTTCTGTACACTGTACAGAGTAAATCCTGTATGCATATGCAGTCACATTATGCTATGCCCATCCATGCTATCCAATATTCAATGTCCAATGTCCAATCCATCCAATCCATCATTCATCCAGAATTCAAACCGGGATATCCGCTAACTCGCTCAATCAAAAACCTAATTACAACTCCCTGTCCAATTACCCATATCCATGCCATAATGTCCAAACAAAGTCGGGTCGTCAAGCTATGCCCGCACCAACTTCCGCTCCCGCTCTCGTTCTCGTTCCTGCTCGCGCTCGCGCTCCCGCTCGTTGCTCACTTCGTGTCCCTCCTTCACCGCCGCCGCCACCCGCGTGTGGTGGTCCACCGTATCCAAAATTGCCTGCATCAGCCGCTGGTTGGCATCCGGGTCGTCGTCGTCCGCCTCCGCGTGCCGATGCAGGCTGACCCGTCGCTCATGGCTCATCCCGCTGCTCCCATGCATCTCGCTCATGGCGCGCCGCGGTGACGTCTCCTTGGCCAGCGCCATCCCCGCAACCGGTCCTCCTGTCGGCGCGGACTCGCGGCGCACGCTGTACTCAGACGGCACCTCGCGCTCACGAGGTCGTTGCTCCGCCTCGGGCAACATTGGCCCAGACACCGGGGTCGGGGCCGCCGTCGACGGTGGTGCTGCCACGGGAGTAGGCAGTGGATGGGTCGAAGAGGCCTCCTTGGACGAAGGCGGCTCCTCCGCTCGTTCCCGGGACGTACGGTCGACCCGTGTCTCGCGCAGCTCGTCCTCCTTGACGTCCTTCCAGGAACACTTGGCATGCTTCTTGGTGCACCCCATGCAGGCAGTCAGGTTCTTCAAACAATCCATGTGTAGCCGGCGACACCGATCGCAGGGCGGCAGGATGCGCTCGCCCCGTGAGAGTTCTTCCATGCGCGCCACCATCTCCATCTTGTGCGGGCCGCCGTCATCCTTTTCGTGGTGGTGGGACTTGGGCGGTGGCAGAAGCGAGGAGGGTGTATTGGGAATGGCAACCGTAGCGGGTGCCGGAGTGTACAAGTTGTAGTCCGCCGCATCCGACGCCCGCGGCCGCGGCCGGGATGACTGCCGACTACTGGAGCCGGGGCCCTCTTCATAGCTGCGCGCCTGGCGATCCTGGGTAGTAAAGAACTTCTTCATGAGCTCGGCGCGGGTCGTCGGCGAGGCGCCTTTGATAGAGGTGCCGTTAATGATAGTAACATTGTCCGTATTGGAATGCGAGAACATAAACTGCGACGACAGCGCATTCTCCTCCACGGTGGCTTCTCCGCCGCCGGGCCGGCCGGCATTCACGGCAACAAAACCAGTGGAGGGAGACTGGGCGCTGGCAGGGGTGCTACCATTCGGGTTCTGAGCATGGCCATTGGCATCGCGCCACGCAGGGCTGATGGAACGATGTTGTTGCTGCTGTCGCTGCGAGTGGAGCGACATGTCGTTCTCCCGACGGGTGACGATTGCCGTGCGGCGGTTCTTCAGACGGTGATTCAGTTGTCGAGCGCGGGCAGACACTAGCAACGGTGATTAGTTTAGCTTATAAGATATACTCATGTCAAACATACCCTGGTCAGCCATCTGGATGATCTGCTGGAGGTTCTTCTCCAGAATCTCCAATGCGCCCAATTCCTTCTCCTCATCCTCAATGATCGGCTGCGGGGGGATCATCTTCTGGGGCATCCCCGAGGCGATCAACACAAAATCCTCCTCGCTGATCTCCACCCGACACTGCTTGGTGTAGAATTGACACACTCGCACCCCGTTGCGCGATTTTTCCAGGTTGAACTGCTCGGGCTTGTTCTTGGCAAACTCGACCACATCCAGCCAGGTCACGTTGGGGGAGTCCTTGCCATGCGACTTGAGCACGCGAGGCGGTCCATCGAACAAGCGCTCGAAGCGCTTGATCAAGATGGGCCCCAGCGGACAAGCGCCCAGGTTCCCGGCAATGCTTTCGTGACGATGTAAGACGCCGTCGTACTCGCCAATGAGATGCACAATGGCGGGCATGGTATCATCGACGGAGACGAGAGGAAGGTTGTCCGGGTATTGGCGGGCGAGGTAGTTGATCTGCAGGTGATTCGAGTGGGTTTTGGGAACCTTGGACGCGATAGGAGGGAAATCGCCGGAAGGCGAGCGCGGTCGTTTACTGGACGGCTCAGCCGTCGCGGTTCTGGACTCCATGGTGATGCCGGAGGTAGTAGGCGACCCAAGGAGGAAGTGAGGTAGGGAAATCCGGGTGGATTGCGACAAAGCGAAGAGTCGCGGAAAATACGGGGCAGGGAGGGGGAGGGATAAATGGGAGGAACCCAGAGAGGAAAAAAGGGTTTATAGAGGAAATGAGTAATGAGAATACTGGCGAAAGACGGGCTGCCGATGGCGGAGCATCAGGCTCCAGAGTGCGGGTTCAGGTTCAGCCACTGGGCAGCGCGTGCTGCGTTCGAGTTAGGTAATCGGCGACCCCAACGGGAAAAAAAAACTTGGGAAAATGGGGGGAGGGGGGAGGATCCAGTGTCGGAAGGGAAGAAAATGTGGGGGAGGAAGAGTACCCAGAGAAGAAAGAGTAGGAAAGGGAAGAAGTGGGAGAAAGAAGAGGGAGTGGGAGGGGAAGGGGGAGGAGGAAGAGGAGAAGAGGAAAAAAGAGAGAGAGAAGGATGGAGAGGAGAGAAGATAGAGACCGGAGAGGAGGAGAGGAGAGAGGAGGGAGGGAGGGAGGAAGAGGAAAAGATGGGGGAGGGAGAGAGAGGCAAGAGAAGGAAAGTTAGGAGGACGACGAACCGACAGGCAAAGGCGGACGGAGTTACGGCCGGGGGGAAGAGGGTTGGGAGAGCCGTTGACCGAGTTAGTTTCCTAACTAGCAAGTAATGGATGATGATAAATAAAAAAGGCGCAGGATAAGGACTGGATGGGACGATATCTATTTCTATTTACTAACAACTAACTAAGTACTACTAGCTGTAGCAACACCAGCAAAAAAGAATGTCCCAACCAGCAGCAGCAACAACAACAACACTAATCGATTGCAGGGACGGGATGGTGGAAGTGATGGCCAATGATACTCCCGAATGGATGCTGGTGACGCTGTGGATGGCGGAACGGGCGAGAGGATGGGATGGGATGGGAATGATAGTAGGGAACTAATGAAAGGACTGGGAGAGAAGATAGTAAGTAAGTTACCTACTGGAGATGCCGAGTGGACCGAGCTAAAGAGCCTGCAAGTGGGTGATGGCGATCTTCCGCAAAACAAATGGTAGCCTGATCGAGTCTGGACGATAGGGATGTCTTTCTTCTGTCTGTCTGTCTTGTATCCCCGCTGAGTTCCTGCGTGATCCGTGTCTTTATCTAGATTGGATCCCCCTCTTCCATGGACTCTAGACTGGAGTAAGTAGTCTCTTGATTGACTTATGATGGCTAACAACACAGCAATCAACTTCCACTCCTCTCCTGCCAAAACCAGCCAGAGGAATTGACGAGTGACCGGTTATCGCTTACCTAAGGTAGGGCGGAGTCCCGCCGGGCTCTTCCGCTGGTCATTTAACATACATAACATGTCATAACCATACGGCAATACGCCGCCCATGCGCCTGTTATCAAGGCAGTCCAGGCCGGGGCATCGAACCGACAACTTTCCAGTAGGGCCGGTTATTGGGGTCCTTGTTTTGAGTAAATAGACACCAACAATGAATGTATGTATGGCAGAAACTAGCGAGTATACGAAGACACTAACTGACCCCGATGTTACATCTCCGACAATTCCCCTCTCCCCTACTCCCATACTCCCCTTATCATCAGCATTGACATGCTTCCGATTCCAAGCGTATGTATGTATGTATGTGTCTGGGGTTGCAATCCCCCTTGCGGCGGACTCTAGGGACAGACAAGTCCAGTAGAGCAGTAGGAGGACGACTATCTGACACGTTGTCTTTTGGCGGCCAGGTGGAAGTTGCTTTGATGCTGGTGCTCCGTTTCCTTCCGGAACTTATCCAATGGGTATCGGTTTGGCTGGCGTCATGGGTTTCGTGATTGTGCACCAGTTGGAGGCCGCTCGGAAGCCGGCCTGGACCAGCTCATTCCTTTCGGACGGGGGTCGCGCTCCGCCCGTGCTGAGCCGGTGCCAGTCGATCAGGGAGCTTCGGTTTCATACCCTCCCCTTAGTTTTTATACTCGACTCATTGTTTGGATGTGCATAGTAGCTGATGGGAAAGCTTCCCCTTCTTCTCAGTGTGAGACATTTCATAGGATCAATCGGATGAAGATGGTTGCCTAAAAAGCCTTTCATCAAACTGGACCAGCAAAGGCCGGGCTGTGATGGGCGCGTGTGTCCGACACTGGCCGGGTTCCAGCCCCCCCCACGATACGCGCTAACCCGGGCCGGTGGTCAGGTACTGTTAAAATCAGAAATATGACAGATTCTGTGTATTGTTACCGTCATTAATTGCCAGGAAGTTCTAAAGAGTTTTCCGATCTCCTCCCAGCGTCCACAGATCCCGTGACTGGCTCAACCTCGTGATTCACGCTTGTTTTGCTTGTTGCTGCTACTGCTGCTGCTGCTTTTTGCTATTGCTGCGACGGCTGAAAATCCCTCATAGTCAGAGACTCTTTCCAACAGCTTGACTGACTGACTGACTGACTTCCTCCGCCCCCGTGATATTCCCGTCGGGCCCAATTTGGCATTTTCGTCCACACCGGTGTGCCATTTCCAGGAGCTGCCGGCCAGTCCATTCCGAATTCCCTTGTTGTTCCCATCTATTCCCTAGTCTAGCTGGTTCATCTCTCTGCATTTCCCCTCCTTCCCCTCATTTTCTTTACCCGACACCGCATTATCTAATCCACTCCCCTTCCTAATTGGACCAAACCCACCCTTTCACACATAATCTACTACTAAGTGCTTTCCCCTCCCCAACCTAAACACTCCCTCCCAGCCAAGCCATGTCCGAAAGAGGCTCGTTCCGTGGAGGTGGTCGCGGCCGCGGCGGAGGCTATGACCGGTCTGGCGGTCGTGGCGCCCACAGAGGTGGCGGTGCTGGTGGCGGTGCTCAACAGCAGCAGCAGCAGGAGAAGCCCAAGAAGGAAAACATCCTCGACCTGAACAAGTACATGGACAAGGAGGTGCGCGTCAAGTTCAATGGCGGTCGTGAGGGTAAGACCCACCCTACTGTTGCTGTACAATGCTATTGCTAATAATCATGTCCAGTTGTTGGTCTGCTCAAGGGATATGACCAGCTCATGAACCTGGTCCTGGACGATGTCAAGGAATCCATGCGCGGTAAGCCCCCTGCAATCTCCCCCCTACTACTCCCTACTGACCATCCCAGATGACGAGGGCAATGAGAACACTCGCTCGCTGGGTCTCGTCGTGGCCCGTGGCACCATCATCGTCCTGATCTCGCCCGCCGACGGCAGTGAGGAGATTGCCAACCCCTTCGTGCAACCCGAAGAGTAATCACGTGCTCTGGAGGTCGATAGGCCGATATCAGAGCAACTTGGTGGTTTGTTGGTGACTGATGCGGTGTTCCCTTGGAGTGACCAGCCATGTGCATGCCCCCGCACAATTGACGACAATGGTTGCAGCACTCGTCCGCCTCACGTCCTGCTGGATGTGGTCGATGGGTCTGCGTCTATCTCGATGTTGCCGTCCACCACGGCTGGTGGACGGAATCTTACTATACACACCCTACGAAGGCAGATGATGAAATGTATTATGTGCGCCCTGAGCGTTGACTTGTACCTGCATGAAGCCATGCATAGCACAATACCAGAATATACTACATAGTAATGGCGGGCACTTGACTGCCTACAATCAGCTTACTTTCCGCCCTGTGTGTGGTCATGACATCATCCTCTGTCGTCATGAACAACCTGTCGATTCCTCCAATGTGCTGCCGTGTATGATGCTGTAACCCCCAATGTTAAAGTTAGTGCGTTTCACCATAATACTATTTGTATCTTCTTCATGATGTTACTGAGCATTAGGCTCAGCCCGGCAGAGGGGTCTAGGCCCAGCTGGCCTGCCCTCGTCTAGATAGAAAATAACTGATCCCTGCAACGCAACCCAGCAAGCAGCATTGTCTGCAACAGATCCCATTAATATCTTCCATCTCTACAATCTGGCCGTCCCATAATGAAAAACCCCCTCTGGGCCCTCGTGGCCTTACCCTTCACCACCGCCCTCGTCTTCCCATTCCACCATGATGCCCTCCCCGAAGACGACAATAGTATCACCATCGCCGACAAGAATATAGACTCCGACCTAATCAATGGCATAACCACCACCCTCGCAACAGCCCTCGACCACCTCACAACCGACATCTGGCCCACCATCGTGAACAACTACCTCAACTACAACCCTAGTGATTCACCCCATCTCTACGCCCAGCACGTCTCCGAACTCGCTCCGCCCTTCCGCCATCCCACTCCACCCCCATATCTCCGCCACCCCGCATCCAATAAGACCCTCTACGACCTCATCCTTTCCAACCCGGATACTTCCATTCTCGCTCACTTCATCCGCAACGACCACCACCTTACAAACCTTCTCAACACTACCTCCACCAACCTCACCTTCTTTGCTCCCACCGACGAAGCCATTCGCAAACTTTACCATCACCACCACCATGAACACAATACCAACAACAACAATATTAAAAAAACCCACAACCAAATCCACCACATCCTCACCTACCACACCGTAAAGGGCTCCTATCCCATCGACAAACTCTTCCATTCACACACCATCCCGACCTATATTCACACTGAACATACCACCCTCCCCCAACGCATCACCATCCATCCAATCATAACCCGCGACCTGATGCTCAACTTCCACAGCCGCATCATATCTCTCGATAAACACGCCTCCAACGGTATCCTATACCACATCGACTCGGTTCTCATGCCTCCTCCTTCTACCCTCACTATACTTAACAGCCTTCCCTCAGAGTTCAGCACCTTCACGCTAGCACTGTACAAAACCGGTTTGGATAGGGTACTTACCACCAGCTCCAATACAAATACCATCGCCAGGAACAAAGCCCTATCCATCCAAGACGACTACCAAACACAACCACAACCACCCACCTCACCCTCCCAAGAACAAAAAGAAAAAGGAGGAGGAAGTGGTATAACCCTCTTCCTCCCCCCCAACCCCTCCTTCACGACAACATTCACCCCCGAAGCCCTCACCTTCCTCTTCTCCCCCGAGGGGAATAAATACCTCTCCGCCATCATAAAGTACCACATTGTGGTTGGCGAGACGCTCTACTCGGACCAGCTGTATACCAAACACGGCGATATGCTCACCCTCCCACCGGGGGATAGATCCATGTTTCATATAGAGATGGAGAGTTTATTACAACGATCTCATTCACATTCACACATTGATAATACTCATGATGATGATGGTGATAATGATGATGAAGGGAAAGCGGAGAAGCTCTTCATCGATGCGAAACGCCACCATGGCGCGTATCAGTTTCTCCGGGTAAATGGGTATCAGGGTGTCAAGGCGGGGGAGTTGTTGACTGCGGAGGGGTATATGTTTGTTTTGAGTGAGGGGAGGGTGTTGGTGCCGCCGAGGCGGGTGGGTGGGTATAGGAAGGGGGAGTATGTGGTTGATGCGAGGGAGAGGGGGGATGGTGGTGGTGGTGGGTATTTGATGGGGGTGGAGGAGTTGAAGGAGAGGGTGGGGAGTTGGTTGGGTCATGGTGGATGATTGAGTTATTATGCTTTGTGTGGGAGATAGTTTTGAGGTAGTTGTATCTATCGGTTGTAGATAGGGATGGTGGTCTGGGGTGTTGTCTTTCCTTTTGGGGTTTGGTGTTAATGTGCTTGTTACACTACACTGATGATACTATACTGGAATAAGCTGCAAGTGAACTTCAATCTCATACATTTCTAACTATGGCGTATCTGTCTTAATATTCTTCTTCGTCACTGCTGTATAAACCTGCCTTCGATCTTACCATCGGCCATCACATCAATAATGAAGTAGGCGTTAAGGATAAGTATCGTCCGCAGTAAAAATAGTCAATGTAGACATATCAGATCCTCGCTGGAACATAGGAAACATATTACCTCCACCATGATTTCAATCCAAGAATATCCACCCTCCCATCCATCCATTTCTCATTTAATAATAGGCCAGCCCGAGTTGATGACACCCATAACATACCAGATTAAAAGATATGTACGTAGCATCTATTACTATAGATGCATAGTGTCAAGCTGTCAGACTACTCAATGCAGCCTCCTACTGGCCGAAGGCTTCAGCAGCGCCTGGAAGGACGATTCCAGAGCTTTCTTCAGCTCCTTATAGCTGACCACGAAGCAACTCTGCTCGTCGCGGCTGATCAAGGTGATTTTTTCGTCGGTGCCTGCGTCCAGTTTATTCAGGCACATGAGCACATGGCCCAGGTCGACGACTGGGTCGCCCTGCGCGTCCACCTGGTGGAAGACGTAATCGCGGAAGATCTTCAAGAAGTACCGCTCGCCGTTCTCGGACCATTGACGATCGTGCTCGTACTCGGGTCGCTCGTTGATAAAGTTCAGCTTCGTCATGAGCCGGACGAGGCGGCCGTTCTCGAGTTCGCGACTCAGGTCGGAGGTTAATTGGTCGTCGAGGTGAAGAGCGGAGTCGAAGGTCGACATCAGTGTCGATGAGATGCCGGTGATAAAAATGTCAATATTTCTTTCCTGGTCCTTCTGGAGCCCGTTCAGCAGCCAGAAGACCGAGTTCTTCAGCTGCGCAGTGTATGCGCGTGTGAAGTGCTCCATGGCCTTGGTAGGGTTGTGCATTACATTGGGCTGGTTGGCGCCCAGAGTGACGATGAGCTGTCCAAAGTTGACCAGATCCTGCCGCTGCAGTTCGGCCAAAGATCGCTGAGTATCGAATTGAACCACATCCATTATGGCGCAGGCGTTGAGACGAATGCGGTTCCGCCCAGTTAAGAGGATCTTGCTTGGGTCAATGATCCTGGCAGCCAGTTGACTGGCATGGATCGCTTTCAGAGCATTGGCAATCTGAGTCATGTAACCCCAGAGAACCTGTTCCGGGATGTGCGTGTTATGGCGACCTTGGAATCGGTTTCCAGCGCCAAGGTGCTGCTCAGCCAGCGTCTTTGACAATGGGTGATAGTCGGTGACAAAAATCAAGGAGCTGTCCTGAAAGCTTCGGCTAGTAAACGCATCGTGGACTGTCACGACACTACCGTTGCAGACACGCTTCCAAGCTTGCACGGAGCGGATGGCCTTTTCGTTCGTCAACCGGAAACCTGAATACGAGTTAGTATCCTGATAATGGCATGGAAAGGATTACAGTACCCTCGAGTCTCCGGAGAGCGTAAAAGTTCCCGTCCTTACTGGACTGGGCTTTGTACACCCAGCTGGGAAAGCCAAAAATGGTAGCGTTCTTCTGATGGTTGAGATCGAGCGGAACAAGAGAGTGGAAGTAATCGACCTGAGCTGGGAGCTGAGTATCTAACATCAAGTCAGCATCGTCAACAAACGCACTCAGTTGTCGGCAACGTACTTGGCAGTGTCTGGAGCGTGGCTGCCGCCTTCTTCTGCATTTCCTCCCGTAGGTCATTAGGGAGGAAAAGGTCGTGTACGTTTCGCTGATAGCCTAACGTATTCTGACTGTGAGGCCCAATCGGGGCATACATGTGATATTGGACCTAACGCTTGATCAGGATGATTTCCGTACCACAGATAAGAAGTGGCTTACTGGCTGCTGGAATCCAGACTGGTTGGCGAAGAACGCTGCTCCGTTCAACGCTGCAGCAGTGTCATGCGAGAAAGGATTGGCCTGCACCGGGCCGACGGCGTTTGCTGCGGAGAGGGGATTCGGGGCGGTCACAAAAGGGTCGAAAGCGCTCGTGCTGGGAACACCGGCAGTCCCATTACCTTGCAGGGAGCCCTAACCAATTAGCATTGCAAGCACGTACATTTCGAGCAGGATCACCACAGCAAATGACATGCGAAGCAGTCGACCTGCGTGGGGCACCTCGATCTGGCAGCCTTACAATATGTGCAGTATCAAATCCCTGAGGTACAAACTCTTGTACCTCTGCCACAGACCAATCGGGGGTCATCGTACCCGGGCGAGTAGTAGGGGTGCTGGAGTTGGATCCTGATTGTAGTCAGATTCCGCATCGTATCCCGGAAACGTTAGGGCATACGTGATGATATACTTCTAGGTTGGAAGGGAGCTGCGCTCGCAGCCTTGGGCGAGATCGTAGCCATTTTCTTCATGGTTGCTGATTGGGAAGTGGGCGATGATCCATTCGACGACAATATGGATGGGGTAAAACTAGGGGAGTCGACGTTCAGACGTTTCTTATTACTGCAGAATGAGTAAGTGACCCGCCTCTCTGACTCCAACATTGCGCGCCTCTCCCGGAAGTGCCAACCTGTCTGATTGATATCCTGAATTCACTTTATGCGGGTCGTGGTTGAAGGCGCACCCTTCACAAGCAATCGGACGGTTAGACGGATCCTAGCGAGCATGAAGTGGAACAATAGGCAAGGAATGGCTAAGCACCTTTATCTTCGTAGCGACATCGGCCATATATGGTCACGTTGCGACACAGCGTATCTTTGGCGTTCTCTGTAAGGTCAGGATGACGACTATGTTAGCTGATACCGCCGAAAGAAGCAAAGGCCGACGGGAGCATTGAATCATAGTCCGTTGCCCGAAGCCGACATTTGAATCATAGTCCAACTAACCTCGTCCCTTCATCTTCGGAGACCCCGTGCCACGACGGGCGTCTTCCAGCGTTGCAGACTTTCCCGTGGTAGCCATGTTAAGTTCGTTATCCACAGTTGGGCGCGGATCAACGGACAGGTATGTCCATTGAGTCAAGAAATATCGGGCGACCTAAGATATCGAGAGGAAACCACATTCCTCAATAGAGAAGACCCGTAGACTAGCTCGACAATCCGAGATGCCCTCGGAGACGTTGTCGAGGCGATGTTTCACTGATGGCAGGGTAAATGTTCCGCAACAGCCAAGGACGGCTGGGATGACGAGATTGGGCGCCCTTTCGAGCGTCAGACGGTGGGAACAGCCAAAACAATTGAGAATAAACGTCCGGAGACAGGAACGGACGAAGATCTCATGCCATGGATGGTGACAAGGCAGTAAGACCGCAAGGCAGCATCCGAACCAAGGGCGGCGCGGGGGGGGGAGGAGTGGGAGGGGGAACTTGGACGGGAGTGCGTCGAACTCCGTCCCGTGCACGGACCACTCGTGCGTCAAGCGCGCGTCTAGCGTGGCTCCCGGCCATGACGGAGCTGTCCTTCTGAGGCCAGCTAGTACTATCGTTTATTCCCCACGACTTCCCCCTCCCTACCATCTTCCTTAACTACAGCCTGATCTGCATCTGTGGCGGTTTTCTGCATGCCCTGGGCATTCTTTAGGAGCTCGCTACTTTTTTCTGTTTTAGCTCCCCCTCTTTATCCTCAATAACTAGGCTATTCTGACGCACACGACTCCCCGCGGCTCATCTATACCTCGTCACTCACGCCAGTTCCCTGGCCTCGCTGCTCCTCTTCCCACCATTCTTTTCATGGATGAGATCATCAATTGACCATGTCCACCTCCGGGCTTGATATATCCCAACTCTCCGACAGCGAGAGGTCCGCTCTCGAGACGTATACTGCGGTCACCGGTCAGGAACATTCGGAAGCCATTCCTTTGTTGCGCCGCTCACAATGGAACGTGCAGGTAAGCCCGGATGACGACATACTGCCTCTAGATGCCTTGGGAACTAAGCAGTTGCTGCCTCCAGATTGCCATCTCCAAGTTCTTTGACGGCGAAGGGCCGGATCCCGTCGAAGAAGCCCGTGCTGCTCTCAACTCCCCTCCTCCGCGACCCGCTCGACAGACCCAAAACCTCATGAGTGATGACATTGCTGCGCAATTTACTCCGACTCCCCGTGCTGCTGAGCCAGCTCCCCGGATAAATACACAGCCTGAAGACCAGTCGGTCTATCGCCCGCCTTTCATACTAGCTCTGCTGTTTACTCCGCTCAACCTTCTCTATCGACTACTCTACAGCTCCTTCCGCCTATTCGGTGCCTTGTTTCCCTTCCTTCCACGCTTCTTTAACACGACAGCGAATCCCGCTCTTCAAGGCTCCCGGAGAAATACTAACGGTCGCCGGCCCTTGGGTCCCAAAGACACGGCCGCCCGGTTCATCCGGGAATTCGAGGAGGAATTTGGCACCAACTCGATCAGTTTCCTCGAGAACGGATATAACATGGCATTGGAGAAAGCCCACCGGGACCTCAAATTCCTCCTAGTTGTACTTCTTGCCCCTGAGCATGATGATACGAATGGCTGGGTCCGAGACACACTTCTGTCTCGCGAAGTGACCGACTTCGTGAATGACCCACAAAACAACCTACTTGTCTGGGGAGGGAATGTTCAAGACTCTGAGGCTTATCAGGTTGCCAACTCCCTCCGCTGCACCAAGTTTCCCTTCGCAGCCGCTTTAGTCCATACTCCGAACGTTTCCTCGAATGCGATGTCGGTTGTGTCGAGGATATCGGGAACAACGTCCCCTGCGGAGGTCGTGGAGAAACTCCGATCGGCCATGTCGCAGCACAAGGAGCCTCTCGAGCGCATCCGGTCAACCCGGGCAGAACAGCAAGCTTCACGCAGCCTCCGTGAACAGCAGGACTCCGCCTACGAGCGTTCCCTGGCCATCGACCGCGAGCGGGCGAGACAGAGGCGGGAAGCCGAGGCGGCCCGACAAAGGGAAGAACAAGAGGCGGCCGAACGTCAAGCGGCCGAGGAGAAGCGCATACAGGATCTTCAGCAATGGAAGCAATGGCGGGCACAAACCATTCCAGAGGAGCCTGGGCCGGACGTCAAGGACGCTGTTCGCATCAGTATTCGACTGCCTTCTGGCGAGCGTGTCATCCGCAAGTTTGCGCCTGACGCGTCGCTTGACGAGCTCTACGCGTTTGTTGAATGTTACGATATCCTGAAAGAGCCAACAGAAAAGGCTGCAGAAGCAGTGAAGCCGGAGGGCTTCGAACACCAGTATGGGTTCCGGCTGGTTTCACCCATGCCGCGGGTGGTCTACGAAGTGGAAGCTGGGGGATCAGTGCGGGACAAGATCGGCCGAGGAGGGAACCTTCTAGTCGAACCGATCGATGACGGCAGCGACGAGGAGTCAGAAGAAGAGGCATAAGCTCTTGGACTCACGGTTGTAACTGTATTGTTTTCGCATCCTGGCTGCATGGCGCAAGAATGGAGCTGTCCGAATGATTTGCAGATACTTTCCAGCACTTTGACTATCTTAGTATGTAATAACAAAGATCACGATAATGACACGGAACAACAAGGTGCCAACGGGCCCAGTGACGCTATGCCACCCTGCAGGAAGAGCCTCCGTGCGCGGGAGTGGTCCCCAAACTCAATTTTTTGTAGAAGATACTTAGAGTAGTGAGTGTGGTCATGTGCGGTTGGTTCTCGCCCGGGAGGCCCGACAGCACGGGATCTTGGTCATCCGAAGGCAGATGTTGAACGCGTTGTCCTCATTGTTTGTTCTGCCAATTAGAACTGCTAGCTGCGTGTATCAGACATGATGAGCTCGTATGAGTCACATTGTTATCATTGTCGGGGCTGCATGCTGATCCTGCCGCGGACTAACTTACCGCACTTATAACTTTATATTGAACTCGGAGTGATACAACACCCGATGGGCGCGAAGTCAGGACCCCGCGGTTCCCGAAGAGGGCAATCCCGCCAGTGATGATGCTCGGAAAGATTAGGCAGGGAGGAGCACCTACGTATTCATTCATATATTGGGCATGTTAAGTAAGAAATCTCACCGTGTTGGGCGGTGATTGGAAATGTCCGGAGCTTGGACTCGAGTCTGGGAGATGAAGTCGGTGCGCTCTACAATGAAGGTAGGCGCACAGGGATGTGTGAAGGATATCCACATAGTAGTTGATACATAGCCTGCTGTCAACTTAGGACAACAGGTGCCACATAGTATTCAGCCCTCCCAGCAGCGATCATCTGTGGAGTGAATAAGCTAGCTAGCTACCTTCAGGCTGCATATCTAGAACTCCAAATCGTGCATTAAGCTGCTCATGCTTGAACATAGCTGAGTCAGGTATATATAAAAGGGTGCATAAGGATCTGTACCGCAACATCGGATCGTGAGGTCTCCGATACGGTACCGTAAAGGGGGCATTTAGAGACTAAATGGCCGGGCCTCGGAAGGCTGGAGTCCCGCCCCACTCCGCCCCACCCAATAAGCTGCCATTCCCCTTTGGGACAATGGCCGCTCAGCCCCGAATCTCGTTTTCGCCACGTTTTAGGGAAAATTCGCACACTTGGAAGTCTGGAAAACTGGGTTTGCTTATTAAAGATCGGGATGAGTCTTACTTGACTCTGCTCCTGATTTAACTATTGCGCGAAGGATCCGACTCCTTATGGGATGATTCAGAATTCTTGTTCGTTGCTACGTAGCGTAAGCTTCTCGATAGGTCTATGTGCAGGCTTGTTTTTTTACTTTCTTGGTGGGTTCTCAGGAATTTTTTCCGAGTACCTAACAATAGCTTGTGTGACATGAGCGACATGTGACTAGTTATCACTTATCTTCATGCATGCAATCATCATGCCTAATATTGCCTGAAGCATGCTTGATTTTGTTGAAGTACTACACTACACAATGTCCTTTATGGCGGTGTAAGAAGACTAAAGAAAGTAAAGCAGCTAAAGATCAAGCATTGTAATGATTGAGATCTCTGTGGCAAACTGTCAGGGTCTATTTAACACCATGGCCAGCGACCGTTACAGATGTCAGGCAGGACTAGAGACAGATGATATAGATAGATCGCGGGAGCTCAATAATTTCCGTCCCCAGATCAAAGTAACATCGGCCTTAGTATCTACTAACAGGGGTATCGAGGTGGGTAATTCCGGAACCACCAGAAACTTTAGTGTAGTAGTGCTCCGTACTGTAGTGTAGGAGGGCTCTCGTTTAGTCTGGCGTAAACGGCGTATTGTCGTATTGCTTCCGGAGAGAATACGCACGGAGAGGCCTGCTTGAAGGTACCGAGAACAAGGCCCACCACCGGCGCAGTCAATCCTGGGATCCGCCCGGATAACCTCTCGTTCCTGGCCCCGATTCGTCCAGAAGCCTCTTCTCAAAACTTTCCCATCTCAAGTCGCCATTCTGCGTTGCCTAACACTAAAAACGGGGGGTGAAGCCCAGACCTCTAAGACCCGCAACCCAAGGTTTTTCTGTCGCCCTCTTTCCTGTTTCATTATTCGCAGATATTACAATTAAAGAGTGTTACGGGGCACACGTCTTTTGAGGGGGGGCCGTTTTCTAGTAGCTCCAGGTACTGGATACTTTTTATGCTTAGCGGCTGCCACTTATTTCTCGACTGCTGCTATCTATCAATTATTCCCTCCCCCTCAGTTTCACCTGTCACTCTTTCACTCGCCTCCACGGAGGATTTTCCCCCTCCTCATCTTTCTTGATATTACTGATATCTATTCTTATAATTCTGGATATCTCTCCTAATCGCCCTTTTCTCCACACCTTCTTCTTTTCTCTCTCCTCATACTTTTCTCCTATGCCATTGGCATCCTCTCGTTGACCGGCTCAGTCTGAGACTGCGTGTCTCCATATTTAATCACCATGTCGCTTCTAGGCACTATAAATCCTAATCTTAATCCCGGCCGTTCGGTGGAATCCCACGCCGGCCATGAAAACGAGAATGAAGGCGCTCAAGCCGAGAGAGCTGCTGCCGTGAACGAAGGAACTGAGCACTTGGTTCGCGAGGAGCACACGGTGTACACGACCCATCATGAAGAACATCACACAAGTCTCTCCCCAGAATCTGGCAGATCCGAGAAGAAGGGAACTCCCTGGGGTATGGACGGAAGCACCTTGAGCACTGCTGAAACCGCCATGGAGAAACGCGATTACAGCAGCGAGGACGCCGATGAAGATGAAGAGGAAAAAGCTGCCGAAGAGGAGGTCACTCGACTCGCACAGCAACTAACTCGTCAATCGACACGGTTCTCTGTCAGCAACAACGCAGAGAACTCGTTTCTGGAGGTGAAGGACGATTCCACGCTGAACCCGCACAGCCCCAACTTTAAGGCGAGGCACTGGATGAAGAACTTGTTGGCGCTTTCGTCTCGCGATCCGGAACGCTATCCCAAGCGTGAGGCGGGTGTCTCGTTCCAGAATCTCAGCATCCATGGTTTCGGTAGTCCTACCGATTACCAAAAGGATGTTTTCAACTCGGTGTTGCAGGTTGGTGCCCTTATGCGCAAGCTGACGGGTACTGGGAAGCAGAAGATCCAGATTCTCCGCGACTTCGATGGTCTTGTCAGGAGTGGGGAAATGCTGGTGGTCCTCGGTCGTCCTGGTAGTGGATGCTCTACCTTCTTGAAGACCCTTGCGGGTGAAATGAACGGTATCTACATGGACAAGGAGTCTGAATTGAATTACCAGGGTATCTCCGCCAAGCAGATGCGGAAGCAGTTCAAGGGCGAAGCTATCTATACCGCCGAAACTGATGTCCACTTCCCTCAACTGACTGTCGGCGACACCCTCAAATTTGCTGCCCTTTCTCGCTGCCCACGGAACCGTTTCCCCGGAGTCTCGAAGGAGCAGTATGCGACTCATATGCGTGACGCTGTTATGGCCATGCTTGGTCTTTCGCATACCATCAACACCCGTGTCGGTAACGATTTCGTCCGTGGTGTGAGTGGTGGTGAGCGCAAGCGTGTCAGTATCGCTGAAGCTACTCTTTGTGGAAGCCCTCTGCAGTGCTGGGATAACAGTACTCGTGGTTTGGATAGTGCGAACGCACTCGAATTCTGCAAGACCTTGAATCTGATGACCAAGTACGCTGGCGCGACAGTCGCTGTGGCCATCTACCAAGCCTCCCAGAGTGCCTATGATGTCTTCGACAAGGTGACTGTGTTGTATGAGGGCAGACAAATCTACTTTGGTCCTACCGATGAAGCCAAGGAATTCTTCACCAACATGGGATTCGAATGTCCTGAGCGTCAGACCACCGCTGATTTCCTGACCTCCCTGACCAGCCCTGCTGAGCGCATTGTGAAGCCGGGTTACGAAGGCAAGGTTCCACGCACCCCTGACGAGTTCGCCGCCGCCTGGAAGAGCAGTGAGGCCTACAGTAGGCTGAAGAGACAAATTGCCGAGTACAACCAAGAATTTGCAATTGGCGGAGAGTCGCTGGGCAAGTTCATTGAATCTCGCAAGGCCATGCAATCGAAGAACCAGCGCGTCAAGTCTCCCTACACCATTTCTCTCTACGAACAGGTCAAGCTCTGCTTGATTCGAGGTTTCCAGCGACTACAAGGTGATGCCAGTTTGACCATCTCCCAGTTGGTCGGAAACTTCATTATGGCCTTGATCATTGGAAGTGTCTTTTACAATTTGCAACCGGTGACTTCTAGTTTCTATTCCCGTGGTGCCCTTCTCTTCTTTGCCGTCTTACTCAACGCCTTCTCCAGTGCTCTCGAGGTAAGCTCAGCAATCTCCTCTGGCTCCGCATAACCAAAAAAAAGTGACTAACGCCATGACAGATCTTGACCCTGTATGCTCAACGTCCGATCGTCGAAAAACAAGCCCGCTACGCCATGTATCACCCGTTTGCCGAAGCCATCGCATCCATGCTTTGTGACATGCCTTATAAAGTTGGAAATGCTATCATCTTCAACATTACTCTGTATTTCATGACCGGTCTTCGTCGCGAACCAGGCGCATTCTTCGTCTTCCTGTTGTTTTCCTTCGTGACGACCTTGACAATGTCCATGCTTTTCCGAACCATCGCTGCCTCTTCTCGCACTCTTTCCCAGGCTCTGGTGCCCGCTGCCATCCTCATCTTGGGTCTGGTCATCTACACTGGATTCACCATTCCTACGAGATACATGCTTGGCTGGTCGAGATGGATGAACTACATCAACCCCATTGCCTACGGATTCGAGAGCTTGATGGTTAACGAATTTCATCATCGTCAATTCCTGTGCTCTGAATCGGAGCTGATTCCAAATTACTCGGGCGCTTCGATCGAGTACCAGATCTGTTCCACGGTTGGCGCTATTGCTGGAGCCAAGTACGTCCAGGGTGATGACTACCTTCACAAGAGTTTCCAGTACTACGACAGCCACAAGTGGAGGAACTTGGGTATTATGTTCGCCTTCATGATCTTCTTCATGACTACCTATCTGCTTGCCACCGAGTTCATCTCGGAAGCCAAGTCCAAGGGTGAAGTGTTGCTGTTCCGCCGTGGCCAAGCCCCACCTTCTCTCGACGATGTTGAAACGGCCCATCACGTCGCCGCAGACGAGAAGACCGACAGGTCTGGTGGCCAGTCGAGCGCTGCTATTCAAAGGCAGGAGGCCATTTTCCACTGGCAGGACGTGTGCTACGACATCAAGATCAAGGGCGAGCCCCGGCGCATTTTGGACCACGTTGATGGCTGGGTCAAGCCTGGAACCTGTACTGCTCTTATGGTAAGCCTTCCAACCGGTTCATCAACCTACTATCGAGACTAACTAAGCTTGCAGGGTGTTTCTGGTGCTGGTAAAACTACTCTTCTGGACGTGCTCGCTACCCGTGTGACAATGGGTGTTGTAACTGGTGAGATGTTGGTTGACGGTCGCCCTCGGGACCAGTCCTTCCAGCGCAAGACTGGTTATGTTCAGCAACAAGATCTCCATCTTCACACTACCACCGTCCGAGAGGCTCTGCGCTTCAGCGCCATTCTCCGTCAGCCCGCCCATGTCAGTCGCCAGGAAAAGCTCGATTACGTTGAAGAAGTCATCAAGTTGCTTGGTATGGAAGCATATGCCGATGCTGTTGTCGGTGTTCCTGGTGAAGGTAATTGATCCCCACAAACCCTGCTAGTGTGCTACGAAATTAACCCATCTTAGGTCTCAACGTCGAGCAGCGCAAGCGTCTTACTATCGGTGTTGAATTGGCAGCGAAGCCGCAACTGCTTTTGTTCCTTGATGAGCCCACATCCGGTCTTGACAGTCAAACCTCCTGGTCCATTCTCGATCTCATCGATACCCTGACCAAGCACGGTCAGGCCATCCTGTGCACGATCCACCAGCCCTCCGCCATGCTCTTTCAACGTTTCGATCGCTTGTTGTTCCTCGCTAAGGGCGGTAAGACCGTTTACTTTGGCGAAATCGGTGACAAGTCGTCGACTCTTGCTAGCTACTTTGAACGGAATGGTGCCCCGAAACTGCCTACTGAAGCCAACCCAGCTGAATGGATGCTTGAGGTCATTGGTGCTGCTCCTGGATCGCATAGTGATATTGACTGGCCCGCTGTCTGGCGCGAAAGCCCCGAACGTCAGGGTGTGCTTGATCACCTCGCTGAGTTGAAGTCTACTCTCTCACAAAAGCCGGTCGATACTAGCAAGCAGGACCCTGGCGAACTCAACGAATTTGCCGCACCCTTCTCTGTTCAATTGTGGGAGTGTTTAACTCGCGTTTTCTCGCAGTACTGGAGAACTCCTGTCTACATCTACTCGAAGATCGCGCTTTGCGTCTTGACATCGCTTTACATCGGTTTCTCCTTCTTCAAGGCGAAGAACAGTGCTCAGGGTCTCCAGAACCAGATGTTCAGTATTTTCATGCTGATGACCATCTTTGGTAACCTTGTTCAGCAAATTCTTCCCAACTTCTGCACCCAGCGTTCGCTATACGAGGCTCGTGAGAGACCCTCTAAGGCCTACTCGTGGAAGGCTTTCATGGCCGCTAACATCATCGTCGAGCTTCCATGGAACGCGCTCATGAGTGTCATTATCTTTGTATGCTGGTACTACCCCATCGGTCTGTACCAGAATGCTGAGCCCACCAACGCCGTCCACGAGCGCGGAGCTTTGATGTTCCTGCTGATCCTGTCCTTCCTCCTGTTCACCTCTACATTCGCGCATATGATCATCGCCGGTATTGAACTCGCTGAAACCGGTGGTAACATTGCCAACTTGCTTTTCTCTTTATGCCTGATCTTCTGTGGTGTCCTTGCCACACC